ATGAATGAACACATGAGGAATCATGAGAAAAAAGTGTGAAATAACTAAAAACATGTTTTATATTCTAGTTTCTTTAAAAATCCACCCTCTGCTCTTGATGACAGAAGAAACCCTGAGCAGACACACCTGTGAAGTAAAAACCATCTCAGGTGACGACGTCGTGAAGCTCAGTGAGAGAACAGCAGAAGTCTGCAGAGCTGTCAGAAAAACAAAGGGGGTCGACTCTGAGGAACATAAAAAACATGTTTTCAGTTATTTCACACTTTTTTCTCATGATTCCTCATGTGTTCATTCATAGGTTTGATGCCCTCAGTGAGAATCTACAGTTTAAACAGTAATGAGAATAAAGAAAATGCAGTGAATGAGAAGGTGTGTCCAAACGTTTGTCCTGAACTGTATTTATATAAGTTTGTTTTTTTAATGCAAAGATCTTAAAGTTTATGGCTCCAGTTTTCGCTCTGACCCATGACCCAGTTCAGGGGGAGCATCCTTAGTCTATAGCAGGGGTCCCCAAACTACAGCCCGTGGCCCAGATATGGGCCCCTCCCCACAGTTTGACCAGCCCTTTTATTTTGAAAATATTAATTTTTTACATCGGCCTGTAAAAGTCTGTCTGTCAAACTAAAATGTTCCTAAGCTGTAATTTTTAAAAAAATATTATCTTTAAGTAAATTAATAATATCATTTTTTCACAAACACACAAAATATGACGTTTAAGTCACTGACTGATGTTCCATGTTGATAGTGAGGCCAAACTAGCGCCGCCTGTGGGACAGCTCCAAAAGCTAAGCCCCGCCCCCAGCTCCCCAAAAACTCCCCGATGAAAAACCTGCCGTCCCGTTTCCACCTGAGAGGTGTAGGAAGATCTGTAAATACTGAGGACAGGGTTTGGTCTGCAGAAATAGACAGAAATCCGTCTTTTGTTGTTGCTGATATTGACAAAGCCGTTTGAGTGGGCGGAGTTACAGAACTGTGATGCTCTCAAAGACGCGTTCAAGCCCAACAATCTCAGTGAGTTCCTCAAACATCAGAGAGCATGCAGTGAGGATGTCCACTCTCTTTGGGAGCACAGACATCTGCCTGAAAACCTTTTTCACCTTCCATGAAACTGTTGAAAACTCTGATGAAGACTCTGATGAAGACTCACTGATGAACACGTGTTTCAGTCTGTGAGACTCGCTGTGACTCAGTGGGACCTCACATTAACCTTCTCACTCAGCTCACACTGATCAACGTTCACTTCTCAGACTTGAACTGCAAAATTAATATTAAAAAAATAATGATTGTGTAACTAATAATTCTCTTAAACAGGCTACAGATCTCTCTGGTGAAGTTATGCTTAAATGAAGGTCGGCTGTAGTGCAGAACAATAATTAAAAATAAAATTATCTGTCGTTAGACATAATGAACAAATATATCCTGAAACCGATCTAGCCTCAGTATTTATAGCAAATATATCATCATATGAAGATCTGTGATAAAGTCAAACTCCATGGTAACACCAGCTGTCACTCTTATTTCTTATTAGCCGGCCCCTCTGTCAGAGAAAGACTCGGTCATGTCACAGAGAAACGTTTGGGGACCCCTGGTCTACAGATTCTTCTGTTGTACGGCTGTGAGACTCACTAAACAATGTGGACCCAAGTCAGGACCCTTTTCTGTATCAGCTGTTATTTTCACTCCGTCATTTAAAAACACGCTGATGACAGAAAGACTGAGAATCAGACTCTCAGCCCCAGTTTTACTCCCTCGGTTTTGATGTGTTTTCAGAGTTACTGTTACCAGACAGCCTAACAGAGACACAGTGGTCTTTATAATCTTTGCATAAACATGTATGAATTTTAACGCTGCCTTGCTGTTCATCTGAACAAGCGTCCCGTTCTAAAAAAGTCTGATGTGTTGAAAAGGGAAACGGTTTTTAAAGTGATGATTTCTGTCTGCAGTAAAGACATCATGACACGACTCCTCACTTCCTCCCCCTCTCTGGACATGATGGCTGCCGTGGACCTTCCTGTTGTGTCTTAGATATTAAACAGTAACAGTTGTCTGTCTATCCTGGTTGGTTCATAGAAATGTAAATGTATGACGTTATACAGGCTTTTGTAATGATGCACTTTGGATGTTAGATTTCATGTGATACAGTATGAGTGTGTGTGTGTGTGTGTGTGTGTGTGCGTGCGTGCGTGTATATATATATATGTTTTTTTTTGCAGGTCATCACAGCATACTTCAGTCATCAGTCGTTTTTTATTTCACCTCTCAGATGTAAACTTCATTTGTCGGTTATCAGAAACACACTCTGTTGTTGTTTGCTTTATTTCCCATGAACCGTTGATCATGTGACCTCAGTCCCACCAAAGTTTTATCACCTGACCATGAACACTTAAAGTAACTGTTGACAGCATTGCTTCCCCGTGTCCTGTGGGCTGGTTGTTTGTATCTTGTTCATCCTGTCCTGGTCTAAAATGATCATGACTCCTGTCTGACAAACCTGAAGCTGAAGTGAGTAATTTAGTAACACAGATGAACTCTGAAGCAGAAACAGTTTCTCCCATTAAAAAGTCAATCTGGAAATCTCAGTGTGCAGCTTTGCTCTGTGAAGTATTCAAACCACAGCGAAAACAGAACATATACTAATACACTGAAGATATCAGCTTCAGGGGCGTGGCCACAGGGGTGGCCAGAGATGGAACTGCCCTCCTCAATAACAATAATAATAATAATAATAATAACAATAATAATAATAATAATAATAATAATAATAATAATAATAATAATAATAATAATAATAATAATAATAATAATAATAATAATAATAATAATAACAATAATAACAATAATAACAACAATAATAATAACAATAATAAAAATAATAACAACAATAATAATAACAATAATAATAATAAAGTTTAAGTTGTTTTGAAACAGGCCAAACCTTTCTTTGTGTTTAAAAACATCTGTATGAGAATTGAACTCTCTGTAAGTTTCTTTAAAATTAAGACTGAAAGCCGGTTCAGACTCACTCTGTGTTTAGGGGCTTCTGTTGGGGGGGCTGTGTTCCTCTGCGAAGACAAACACTGTGTTTGAAATGTGCAGTTTCTCTGCGTATGTGTAGCTGTTTTTGTTTCCCAGCCTGCTGTCGCTCTGAGGTGTGTGTGAGACGGACAATCACGACATCCATGACTGTTGTGACAGAGAGCTCCTCACTCATCTCCTGTGGTCGTGTCCTATCTTCACCTGAGGAGTCATTTCAGTCAAACCTGCGCTCTGCAGGGTTACCCTGTAATATATCACAGTCTAATGTAAGTGCATGATGAGGAGCTGATGAGGAAGGACAGCATCAGACTGAAGGGGCCGCCTGGTAAGGCAAGCCCAGATGATGATGTCAAGGCTATTAAGGCTCCTGATTGGTTAACTGAAGACATGCGAGTTAATTGGAGGAACACCTTGGGAAGTTTTTTAAGGCCACACCTCAAACACTCAGTCAAGAAATCAGGGAGAGAATCGTGGAGCTCCACAGGTCTGGTTCATCCTCACTGTGTTCATCTGTGAAGTATAAACACCACGGGACTCTCCAGCCATCGCCCCGCCCAGGAAGGAGGCGGGGTCTGTGTCCCAGAGATGAACGTGTTTTGGTCCGACATGTAAAAATCGATCCCAGAACAAAAGCTGAAGACCTTGTGAAGATGAAGGTTGAAGCTGCTCAGAAAGTGTCCACAGTAAAACGAGTCCTGAACGGTTACTCAGCAAGAAGGAAGCCGTGACTCCTCAGGAGACACAGAAAAGACAGATTATAGATTACAGAAGACACCAAGACGAGGACCTGAACTCCTGGAGACATGTCCTGTGGTCTGATGAAACTGAAGTGGAGCTGTTTGACCAGAATGACCACCGTTAGGTTTGGAGGAAAAAGGGGGACGCTTGTAGACCTGAAAACACCGTCCCATCATGTTATGGGTCTGCTCTGCTGCAGCAGGAACTGGAGATCTTCATGACATAGACGGCATCATGAAGAAAGAACATGACCTGGAAATATTTAAGCAACATCTCAAGACATCAGCCTGGAGGATAAAACTCGGGGGGCGTAAATGGGTAAACGGACAATGACCCTAAACAGCCTGACAAAACAGGTAAAGTGGACAACAAACAACAAAGTCCATGTCCTGGAGCGTCCATCACAAAGTCCTGATCTGAATCAGGGGCGGATCTGAAAAGGCGTCTCTTATTATTGTGGCGTTTAGCAAAGTTAAATAACTTTAGTAATCCTAACTGACCTGAAACAGTGAACACAGATTTAGTAAATACAGTCATGGAGACCCCGCCCCCCAGTTAGGCCAACCCAGTCTGTTAATGAAGACCCCAGTTCTCGTAGATCTGCACTGACAGTCTTGTTGTTGTTGAAGGACATCATCATATATATCATCACATAAATCATATAAGTGAGTGAAGAGAAACTGAAACCACGATCACACAGAAGAAGAAAAGGATCTTTTTTTCAGAGTCCTTAAATCACTGCTGACCCCTCTGAGTTCTTTAAGTTGTTTCCTGGTTTTAAACCATCACTGTAGGTGTGTCTATAAGATCCTCAGAGACCTTTAAACCATCAGAGATAATAAAGAAAGTTCAGAGCAGAGGTACATCATCGCTCCAGTCTGGACTGTGTTTGCAGCCGTCAGACTCATTAAATCTGATTATTAATTTTAATGTCTCTGAGCAGGGTCACATGATAGACTGAGGGAGTGATGAGGACTCTGGTTTGAAACTGCAGTGAAAGCACACACACACACACACACACACACACACATACACACACACACACACACTATTTAAAGGCCTTGTGTTACATTTTCTTTTTTATTCTTTTGTATTTTTCATAAAACGTTTCATATCTGATTGTTTTGTTGGATTTTTATGAAGCGTAAAACTTTGTGACTCACATTCAAAACACGAATAAAGAGAGAAACTGTGATGGAGTCTGGTCACCTAAAGGTTATTGGAGGTCATGTCGACTGATGGTCACATGACTTAATGTTTACTGTTGAGTTAGTTTAGGTTTATTTCTCCACAGAGTCTTAAGTTTGAGTGTTAAATCGATTTACATCATCGATTTATCATTAATCAGGTTTGTGAGTTTAAATTAACTACGAAGTTTTGAAATAATCATGTAAATCAAATCTTAACAGAATTTTTTAAGTTGATGGAAAACAAAATAAAACTGATATATATAGATATATATATATTTTTATATGACCTACAAACAGCACCGGGATCCACAGCAGGGAGAAAGCTCTTATTACACCTGTCTCATTGTGTTTCCATGAACTCTCTGCAGGAGGTTTCAGGAACTGTAAATGTCCCTGTCACCTGTTGTTAAGGTTTAACATCCATGATTTTCACCTGAACACCTTTATTTTTGACCAAACCTGCAGACTGATCCTCTCTCTGTCTCCGACGTCTTCCTGCTGTTCTCAGTGAAGTTTGAGCAGCTCTGCTGTATTTCAGTCATTCTGCTGTTTTGAGGTATTTATGCAGTAGAAATGAAAAGAACAGGGTGGGGAAAAAGAGAGCAGGCCTGTATTAGTTTGAGTTGTACAAGTTGACACAAGTTCATATTTTCCTGGAATTTGTGGCACAGTGGTGTGCAGCAGCAGAGTCGGGCCAGCAGTTGTGTTTACGACATGCAGAGGTAGGCCAAAGAGCGTGAACATGCCATGGGGCACTCACCTCCGTCTGTCTGCTCTGCTGTCGCTCCTTCATCGTTTTCACTCTTCCTCTCTCCTCTGCAGGTTTTCAGGGTGAGGTTTCTGCACGGGCACAGCTAGAGAAAATAGACAAGTGAGCAGATAGATTTATTAGAGCATTGGTATAAATGTGGTTGGCTGTCGACATCTGTGTGCATGTGGCTGCATGTGTCTGTATTTGCCAGTCAGTGAGAGAGTGTGTGTGTGTGTGTGTGTGTGTGTGTGTGTGTGTGTGTGTGTGTGTGTGTGTGTGTGTGGGAGTGCACAGCCTGGTTAAAGTGTGTGTGTATTTTTCCATGTGTCCCTTTGACAGAGAAATAGTGCCTGAAGTATGAAACATCATTCCCTGCTGGAGGTGAGCTCTGCCTCCACCTGTAATGACTGCTAAGTGCACGTACACACACACAAACAGACCCACACACTGAGCATTCATGAAGGGTGCAGCAGGAAGTGGATCCACAATGTTAGACAATCATTTCTAAGCCATGAAGAAGAAGTCCTGCTGGAGTCTCAGTGTTTCTTTTATTCTCTGTAGGAAGACGATAATAAAATGAGCCAATATTAAAAAATGAGGAACAGGAGAGAATAAATAAAGAGAGAAGAAGAAGATGATAAATAATATAATGAGGCTGAGGTCTGGGTCCAGGTCGACGGCACAGACTGTCTCAGCTCCGACTAAAATCACTTGTTTTTACTATTTTAACTCATTTTTAGACCCCACACTTTTATTCAGCTCCTTTTTTAAAACATAAAGTTTTCAGTCCTCGAGTTTGTGGATCGCCAAAGTCCAGCGGAAAAATCCAGAAGCCGTGTGGTCGATCACACTAGTGAGGCGGCAAATCTAAAACTTTTAAGGATGATGGCGGAGGGGGTCCTCCCCTCACCCCTCACCCCTGCACTCCCTCACTCCTCAACACCAACACTCCCACCACTCCCAGTATAAAAACACTCACACCATCAAAACCATCATTTCATACAGAGAACTGAAACCAAGGACTGTTTCAGACCCCCCACTGTTTTTAAGACCCCCTCATATCGAAGGATGAGTGCACGTTTGGCTGTGCTGACCGTGCGCTCATCTTCATCTCAACCTTCTATCATAAATGATTAAACTTTATAAAAACTGCTCGACTGTATCCTGCTACTGAGACATGACCTTTACCTACTGTCCTCACTGAGGCCCAGGGTGGGCGAGAGAGGAGTTCATATACATATATACAGAGAGAGAGAGAGAGAGAGATGACCAATCAAGAACGTAGGCCTGTGGAGGTGTGGCCTTAAAGAGACAGCAGCATTTACACAGAGGCTGAAATAACAACATTCACCTCTGTGAGAAATTTAAGCCTGTTTTTATCTATTAAAGAAGTTTCAGGAAGGAAACTCAGAGTCTGAATAAATGGTATGATCCCGTCTCTTTAACGGTCCAGATGTCCTCAGGCCTGATCTGAGGATGACTCCTGAACATGACAGGATGAAGGTGAAAGTCCAGCTACAGCAGTTTTTAAAAGGCTTCTGGGTAAACTGATTCAACCGCTGGAAGAGATGGGATCATAACGAAATAAGAATAAGAAGAACTTTATTGATCCCTGAAGGAAAATCTAATGATGGATTTCCTCAAAGAACCTGCGATCACTGAAATAACTAATAATCATAAATAATAATAAATAATAATAATAACACTCGCTGTCCTGGAGACTCACATGACCCACATCATCATCATCATCGATGTTGTGAGTGAAAAACCCTGAGATGACCTGAT